AGGTGGGAGAATCGGGCATCTCTGCAGGGGGAGGGGCGGCCGAGGGCGATGGGGTTTTACTCGGGTTTGCCCTGCGGACTGTGCCGTGCGTGCGGGTCAGGGGCCGCCCGCAGACACCCGGCGCAAGAGACGCGCGGGAGGTGGCTGCCCCTAGCCCGCTAGCACGTTGTCTGCCGAAGCTGATGCGGAAGGTGAGGCGCCCCAAAGGGCTCTGACCGCTTTGAGGTGACCTAGGCAACAGGCCCGCGATGGGGTTTTACTCGGGTTTGCCCTGCGGACTGTGCCGTGCGTGCGGGTCAGGGGCCGCCCGCAGACACCCGGCGCAAGAGACGCGCGGGAGGTGGCTGCCCCTAGCCCGCTAGCACGTTGTCTGCCGAAGCTGATGCGGAAGGTGAGGCGCCCCAAAGGGCTCTGACCGCTTTGAGGTGACCTAGGCAACAGGCCCGGCTGGCAGCTGGGCTTCCTGAGCCTCAGCGCTCGAGCTGCAGATGCCGCTGCCTTCCAAGGGGAAGGAAGATACAATGCTCAAAGATAATGTTTCCATGTTGTACCAGGGCATGTGGGACAAATCAAGAGAGGTCTCTGGTGCACAGAACGTGTTAGGCACGTTTTTATGAAGGAACTTAAATGTCGTGCTCCTGCTTGTACAATTTTACAGAGCGTGATTATAAATGGTCTCTCTTTGGATCGTTAGATAAAAGGTGCAGTGGGTTAGGGAGGTCTTTGACTGTATATCTACAAAGTAGGAGATGTAAAAGAGAGAGAGCTTCCTTATGCTGTTCTGACAGCCACCTTATGTTGACATAAATGACAGAAAACTTGTGACACAGATTTTCATGTTATCTGACTCATGTTTGAGAAGAAAAACATGGAAGAGTTGGCTTTTTATAATACTTAGACTTTTGTGAAAGAAGTTTTCTGTATATGTAATAATCTTATGTCCTATGTTTCAGTTCCCCTCCCCTTCCTGACAGATTCATGCACATCTAACTAGGTGATTCAGTTAAATAAAATGCGTTTCAGATGCAGCACCATTAGGCAGGTTCTAGTTTACATTTTTAACTACAACAGGAGATATTGTTGCCGTTATAATTTTAAGTGTAATGTACTTTTTCATTAATGCCTTTCACCGTCAGTAGTGGTAATCAACACCATATTTTGCATTTGATCTTGAAGAAATTAAGATGACAACAGCAGCTAGGCCCACATTTGAACCTGCAAGAGGAGGAAGAGGAAAAGGAGAAGGAGATTTAAGTCAGCTCTCCAAACAATATTCCAGCAGAGATCTTCCTTCTCATACTAAAATTAAATACAGGTAAAGGTCAATTGTGTTTATTGCATGACATAATGTATAGTGATTCTGTATTGATGAATTATTCACAGACTGGTACAGCTACTGAAAGAGAAAGATCACAGATATTTCTGTGTTAAACGCTGATAATGTATTTAGCACTATCCAACACAAAGTAAAGGCATTGGACTAGACATATGGAAGATGCAGTGATGGATGGACAGAACAGTTTCCAGTCTGAAGAACAGTCACTGAAGATAGGATGTATTGGAAGTAATTATGCAATATTTTAATATTAGGGATGTAAAATACCACTTAATCACTTAGGTTAACCTAATGCTTATCCAGTTAACATTTAACCTGTTAACCAAATAAAATGAGATCCAGGGTGGGGTGCCTGCGCCTGCTGCAGACAGGCGGGGAGCTGCTCTAGCTCCCTCTGGTACCGGTTAACTTGAACCATTAGCATCACTCATGTAGCCATTGCGAGTAGATGACAACCCAGAAGAGCTGTCGCAGAGCGATCTGCACATGTGCAGAACGCAGAACTGCGTGGCTGGTGAGCAGGGCTCGCCGCTGCTTGGCGAACCGTGCTAATATTTATTGAATTTATCTGCTTCTTGTGGGCACCACAACATAAATTAGTTTTTAGAAGGCGCTTGAATAAGAAGCAGGTGACCTGCAGATCGTAAGGGAAAATATACAGGGCCACATGAAGATGGGGAGGAGATATCTCATTAGTCATTATCAGGGCTCGACAAATCCACTTATCTACTCGCCCATGGGTGAGTAGATTTCAGCCGTCGCCCCGTTCACCGGCGATTCGCGCATGCGCAGTGCAGGGCTGGCAAGTGGTTTTCGCTGCGGTTTGTCGAGCCCTGGTCATTATTACAATCATCACCAAGGCTGGCATTTTCATTGCAAAGAAGCTGAAGGGAGGCCTATTAAATGAAGAAATAAGAGATATTTGCTGGGGTGGGATTGTATAGGGCCTTACAAGTCAGTACCAAGGTTTTAAATTGGTATATTGGGCAAAAAGCCTGTGGAGAAAGTCACATTTGATAAGAGAGATTATTTTTACAGCTGTTTTTTTGGAAGGGCTAGAGGTGAGCAACATGCATATCACAGTGGCAACAGAAGAGGAGGTTTTACTAATCTATGTGGGAAATAATTCATTCATGATATTATCTGTTTGCATTTGGGACAGAGAGGAGTGGTTGGATCTTTAATATGTTGTGGAAGATGAAATGGCAAAATTTGGATACCATTTGAGATAAAAATTCAAACTTTAAAGGGACAGTCCATTTGAAATGTAATCCCTTCTTTAAAAAAGTTAAAGATAGCTGACATTACGCTTAAATGAGTTTTCCTGACCACCACTGCAAATTTTTGTTACTCAAATTGCATTTTATCATTTGAAATGCTTAGTCCATCTGTCTTGTTGTGTGCAAGACCCATAAATGGGAAATGGAGCATGCTGGAAGTATAACAAAGTTATACATGAAATTACAATATAAAAAATGGAAGCGTTTGTCTACTTTTTAGTTAAAATCTTAGATATTTGTAAAAATGGCATGCTAACTAGTTCTTCCTCCCAGAACCTTTAGGCCTGAAGGGGCAAATACTGCGAACTGGAAACTCTCTGCTTCACCTTCCTTTTCTTATTTTTTTTCTCATTGCCTGTTCTAGACAGACCACTCAGGATGCCCCTGAGGAGGTTCGTAACCGTGACTTCAGAAGAGAATTGGAGGAGAGAGAAAGAGTTGCTGTAAGAGAAAAGAACAGAGACAGACCAGCAAGAGGTGAAATGAAACTTCTGCTAAACAGACAATTACGTCCTATAATGGATCTACGCACTTCTGTCCCCAAGATATTCTTCCAGAATCCTTGATCTACTTGACCTGAAGGAGAACATTTGTTACTAATAGTAAAACACATTCCATCTATGGGCCAACAACTGTAGCATGACTCTTACATATATGCTGCCAGTTCATGACAGTACTCAAGGATTTTTTTATTCTTGTACTGCTTGCGTGGTGGGGGCACTTTTTTTTTTTTTTAAGCCTTGGCAAGACAGATAATGCATTGTAAAATATGTGAAATTGTTCATGGACAGTGGAGGATTCCTCTGAAATTAATATTTCAAATAATTCTTTGTGTTTTGTAGTGCTGATTTATGTGAACATTATGCACTCCTGATTGTGTAGATCATCTGAAATATATCTAGATACCTAAACAGCAGTCATAAGAAAGGGGGACATTTAAAACCCATGGGCTGCAGAAGCTGTTTTGATAGGGTCCAGATTGCCAGTGTTTAGAAGCTGCCCATGTGCAAGATAGAGGATTCCTTTCTCTTTTGGGATCTGTGGAGTTGGGAGGAGGCAATGTAGTCACCCCTACTGGCCCCCTTTCACTTCAAATGATGACATGAAGAAACACTTTAAAATAAAAATCTGAGTTTTTTGGCTCTCAGTTCATCTCCCATGGGATCTCTCTGTATGAGTGGTCAGTTCACACATTAGGTCATTTGAATCCAGAAGTTCAATATTGCAAGGGCAAGTTTGGTGATTCTGCTTTACTGTCAATCATATTAACATGTCCTAATTTGATTAATTTTTCTTTTTTTAACTTCAGAGCACACAACATCCTCTTCTGTGTCTAAGAAACCTCGATTAGATCAGATTCCCGCAGCAAACCTTGATGCAGATGATCCACTCACAGATGTATGTATTTTCATTTCTCCTCTGCAGATCTCTTGCTTTTCCTTAGAGTACTCAATAGTGGTTTATATTGCATAAGGAAATCACTAGATAATAGTTCCAGAACATCTCATCTCCAGTTACCATAACTTGTTAAAGGAAGCGTTTGGTGGCATATAGAGTTTTTCAGAAGAGTCTCCTTTCGTACCTGACTTTTCATACACTCCTCCTGGTAGCTAGGAAGCTGAGGGAGGGGGGTAGAATAGTAGAAACACCCACCATCCAAACATTCTGGCTGATAATGAGGATCTTCCTTCCACCAATTATTGAGAAAGAAGTGGCTTTAAATTTAATCAAAATCTAGTTAGCTAGACTTTTTGATTCCAAGCTCTTACTCTCATTATTTTGTGACTTTCTTTATTAAAATTACTTGCTTTCATGCTGCTCTGGGTGCATGTGGCACATTTGATAGCATAATACTGTACTAATTTTGCTTTTGGGCCATCTTGTGCTAGCCACTGTAGACTCCTTTAGCAAGAAGACAGTTCCTATCCCATTTAGCATACAATGAGAGAGAACTGATGAATTAAAATCAATAAGGAATGAGGGAGTGAGAGAAGTGAAATGATTGTTTGGAATCCGTAATTGTCAGCATGTCAGTTGCCTAGGCATTGGAGGCAAGTAATGAATTGCATAGTCTGGTTCAGAATGAATGCATCCATCTGTACCTCGCTTTTAATAGGCAAGGACAAAAATAATCATTTGTATTATGCTTGCTGTCATTGCAGCTGCTAGAACACTTGAGGAATCCACTTTGAGCAAATTCTAGTCTTATTTAAGCAGTCCTGGTCTATGTAACTTCTTTTCCAGAATAAATGTATACTTTTCACAATACACAATTGGTTTTATGAAATGCAGTGAGTAACCAGCCCACTATTTCCTCATGTTAGGAAGATGATGAAGACGAGGATTTTGATGAAGAGAGTGATGATGACACTGCAGCTCTTCTGGCTGAATTAGAAAAAATTAAAAAAGAGAGAGCTGAGGAGCAGGCCCGAAAGGTACGAAAGCTCATGATACCATCTACGTGCTTTGTTAGTCTATAAAGTGCTGCTAGACCATTTGTTGTTGTTTTTTTAAGTTTATCCTGTACAGACTAACTTGGCTACCCGCTGAAGCAGTTAAATAGCTCTTTGTTTGATTTTTTTTTTAAGTGCAGTTTCACAATGTACTAGAAACTACACTAAAAGTGGAAACTGCACTTAAAAAAAAAAATCAAACAATGTACTAGAAACTACACTAAAAGTGGTGGCATGTAGAACCATTAAAAACAAGTAAGAGGCACATTTTAATACAGCAGTGGCCCATGAAAAAGACGCTTAGCAGGAATACATTTATTAAATTTTGTAAGAGAGAATTTTAAAATATTTGTTAAAAGAAGGTGCTGATGACAGCAGTTAGAGCCAGGCATGGGATGGGGGTATTGTGCAGATCAATGCACTTAATCCCTTAACGACCTTTCAGTTCATGTGCCTAGTATTTCTTGGCTAACGGCTGCCAGTTTGTAAAACTGTGTTTACAGTTCAGTAGGTATTTCTAAGGATTTGATTAAGCCCACTCAAGGTGGATGAGATAATATCTTTTATCAGACCAATAAATAGGACATGTCAGATACAGAGTGATCACTTTGTGGAGAGTATTCACTCACAAGTGATGTGTTTTTATCTTATCACTTTCCTTCCTGTGATAGCATAGTGATTGTCTGGATTCACCCACATAGTTGCTATTGGGACATTTAGTATCCCAATAAATACTAACATATTTATAACATATTGTGCTAGGCATGTGCAAGACCCATAGATCTTGAAAGGTATGTTGTGGGGGGCGTTGATCATTGTATCAGTGGAGAGATGTCTGCAAGTTTTGTATCTGTTGTTCTGGCAGGATTTGGTGCCACCTTGAATTGGTGTATTCTGATCTGTGGGGAGCTTGACTGATGATGAGCTTGGAGAGACTGGTCTATTTGTCTGAAGGCAAAAGTAGGGGTTCAGAAAAGATTTATTTCTGAATGTGGTCCCCATCAAATATAGGCGTGATTATTTGATGATACCCCATATAGGTTCCTGTGTGGGGTGATGAGTAGGGATGTAATAGTGTAGTTGATTAACCAATAAGTAAAAGCTTATAGATTAATGTTATAGACTACACTCATTTCCCTCCTCCGTCAGTATATTTTTTAGCAGGCTGGCTCAGATCCTGGCTCATGCTGGGTCCAGGACTTACCCCCATTGCTTTTAAAGTGTATTAGGCCCCGGGCGGGCAGCCAGGCACCCTGGCTCAGTTCTGGTTTACACCGAGTCCGGAAGATCAGACCCCCCCCCCCCCAACCCACGAAACACACCACCCTAATTA